AATTGTTGCCTCGAATAATTGATCTCAGACATTAGGGTTACTACTAAGACGTCCTAACATTGCTTTAGTGACAGTACGTCCCTTTTCGAATTGACCCTCAAAACTCCAACGACGATGCTACCCACTCACTAATAGTGGGATAACATTCTCTAAAGGAAACGAACATAGAACGATTCTTTTTTCGAGTAGGTAGATTAGTTCTTAGATACTTGCTCATTTCAAGCAATTTTTTCATACTTACACTCCTTTACAAACAAAGTTTTCAAAAACACTTCATTACACTCTTGAAGACAGAAGCAAGAGTTAAATCGAAGTCAAAACAAAATCTTTTCAAAGCGCACAAACACAAAGAAAACAATTTTGAAAGTGATGAGCAAGTACCTAAGAGCCCATAGATAACTACGGATAGAAAGGGTGCTAATACATTCCCTTTCTATAATCTACCCCCCGTACTCAGAAATATCTCGAAAAAAGAATTTTTCTGTGCTTTTTTCCTTTCCTTGTTGGATAAAATAAAAGACGGTGGCGACTCTTGCTTACCGCGATATTTTACAAACACAAACGCAAAACGCAAACCAACAAATTCCTTAAAATAATAGGGAAACAAGTCTCGGTTTTGGCCACCGTATCACAATGGGCCTTGGAGCATTATATATAGAGATGACATGGAATGCGAAATGTCGCATCGGACAGCTCACCAACCTTCTTTCTCCTCGACATCTACGCGCTCAGTTAATGATAGCCCCTATTCCCCAGGCCATCATTACAATCCCAAAGGTCACACTACGTGTCTACACCCCGCGGGCTTTCTTCTCCTCGCGAGTCAAGGAACAACTAGAATGATTCTATCTTAAATCCATTCTGAACTTTGCTCGAGTAAGCCCACATACTGACAACCTTCTCCATCAACACAAGGAAATATCCTCGTCGAGTGACGCGCCTCGTAGGATAAAAGGATGTACTTAAGTCATAACTCTTTCATCAGGAACAACGACTTGGGGGGCTCTTGTTCTGGACTGGGCCTGCCCTTGGCCCAAATCCATGTAAGGCCCAACCCAATTATGTCGGTCAAGGCATGCTGGTCAATTCTACCCTCGATTGCATTGGGCAACAACTTCCACTCTCCACGAGGAGGTAGCCTCACCACACGGGGATAAACCCAATTGGTCTTAGGAATGTCATCGCTGGTCAGGATGACCCCGAGGTCACCTTCCAGTCCTCTCCTCGACCAAGACTGATCCTCCCATATAACCTCGCGTCTGGCAGGGAGCATCCATGACGAGCAGAAGCATCCTTACGAGCATCCTCCTTGTAGGGCTGACTATCAATGTCTCTGAATATCATGAAGTCTTCGTGGCTCCAAAAAGACCACATCCATATCCTCCTGATCGTGTGGATGAAGTCACCTAGGTGGGGGACCATGTGCTGGTCCCCACTACTCACGTAGGACCTGAAAGTCTCCATTTTGGGCCTGCTTGACCAGCCCAATAAGGAGACCTTGGCCCAGCGCTGAGGGCTATAAATAACCTCTCTCTTGAGAGGGTCATGTATTGAATATTTCTCATTCTCTTACTTGCTTGCACCATTCCGTATCTCATTTTGGCATCAGAGTGTCTTACAGGTACCCCTCACCTCAGTCTCAAGTACTGCTCGGAGTAAGCTGTGACGGTCCATTCTGGTCAAGTACGATCAGAAAGTATGACAAAAGTAAGACACAAGGCTACAATTGTCAAAAGTTTGGTCATTTAGCAAGAGAATGCAATGTGAAACAGAGGGAATCTAAAGGAAATGAAGTCAATGTTGCTAGAAAAAAGGTGGGTGATGAGAATACATTCTGGTCATGATCACATAAGGTGAATGAAGCAGCAGCAGTTTCGAGAATGTTGCAAAAACATTTACGGAAGAATACATTATAGTGATTGTGATAGAAGGATTCCAGTGCAACTAAGAACGATACTTGGATTCTGGTTCTTGTGCTCATATGACGGGTAAAAAGGATTGGTTTGTCAAAATCAATCAAGCCACGAAGAATAAAGTGAAATTTATGGATGACACCACTTTAACGATCGATGGGATAAGTGATATTTTGATCACGAGAAGGGATATTTGGCATTCCTTGATCAAATATGTATTGTATATTCCTGGAGTAAAATGTAATATTCTAATTATTGGCCAATTTCTTGAGAAGGGTTATTAGATTCGCATGAAAGATAAGACTTTACGTGTTATGGATGCAAACATGGTTTTGGTCCTTAAAGCTCTTATGGCTGCCAATATAACTTTCAAGATTGAGTAGAAGGTTATAGTGCATAGGTGTTTTTCTACATCAACAAGTCGAGATGAGTGGTTGTGGCACTACTGTATTGGACATCTCAATTTTCGAGATTTCAATGCATTACAAAGGAATGAAATGGTAAGCGGGTTGTCATCCACCAACATACCAACTGAGATTTGTAAAGAGTGTGTGCAAGTGAAACAACACAAGGGTGAATTCAGCAAGGATGTAGCTTGTAGAACCAATCATCATCTTGAGGTGGTGTATTTCAATGTGTGGACCGATGCAAGTTGATTTGTGTGGTGGCAATAGGTAATTTGTCACATTTATCAACGATTATAATATAAAACTATGGACATGCCTAATCAAGAGAAAGGATGAGGTATTCAATGTGTGTTGAGAAGTTCAAATCCATGGTTGAGTGACAAAGTGGTCACAAGCTCAAAGTTTTCAAAATGGGTGGTGGAGGCGAGTATGTCTCAAATGATTTTAGGAACTTTTATGATGACGATGGGATAACACATGAGGTAGTACCACCATATACACCACAAAAAAAGGGTATTGCCGAGAGGAAGAATCAATCGATTATGAACATGGTGAGAAGCATATTAAAAAGGAAGAACTTGCTGAAAGAGTTGTGGGGAGAAACGGTATCCATAACTTCCTATTTGTTGAATATGTGTCCTATATAGAAGATTAAGAATATAACATTGGAAGAGACAAGGTCTGGATCCATATCAAATTTGAACCATTTGAGAGTTTTTGGTTTTGGAAGAAACATGATCTGGATCCAAACCGAATATGAACCATTTGAGAGTTTTCGATTATGTGGCGTATCGACATGTTCCAGGCCAATTTAGAAAAAAGTTGGATGACAAGGGGAGATGTTGATACTCGTAGGGTATCACTCTACTAGAGGTTATAAGTTATTTGATGTTGAAAACCAGAGGATTGCAATCAGTCAGGACGTTGTAATAGATGAATTGAAGCAGGTAGAGCAGCATGTAACCGATTACACTTAGTCGTTAACCGATTACATGCAGGCATTAAGCAATGACAAGAAAACGTTAACCGGTTACAACTTCGAATTTCCAGATTTTGAAGAAACAAAAAGTGCAAAAATGCAGCGTGTCGAAGCCAGTGCTAATGAAAATGTGAGACGACCAACTAGGCAAAGATGCTTGCCTCAAAGATTCCAAGATTATGAGATATTCCGCGACAACGAAATCAACGATGATGGTGATTTCGTCCATTTTACACTTATGGTCGAATTCGAGCTCGTTAAGGCAAAATATGCCTTGAGTGATCCAAAACGGATTTGTACTATAAAGGAAGATCTGCAATCGATTGAAAAAACAGTACTTGACAGTTGATTGATATACCAAAAGGAAAGAAGTCGATTGGTGTAAGATGGATCCATAAGGTGAAGGAAAATCTCAAAGGTGGAATAATCAAGCATAAGGCTTGATTAGTTGTAAAGGAAATCTTGCAAAGAGAAGGTATATAATTTGATGAGGTATTTGCACCAGTTGCTAGGATCAAAACCATAAGGCTGGTTGTTGGTATTGTGAATAGCAATAATTGGTCTTTCTATCAAATGAATGTGAAGTCTGCGTTTTTGAACGATCTGCTTGAAGAAGTGTACGTAAAACAACCCCTTGGTTTTATTGTGAAAAATAAAGAAGGGAGATTCTACAAGTTAAGAAAAGCATTATATGGTTTGAAGCAAGCTCTGAGAGCTTGGAACAAAAGGATAAATTATTTACTAATTGAGGTTGGCTTCAAGAAATATATGCCCGAGTATGGAGTTTATGTGAAGACGGATACAAATGAAGAGATCATCATTATTGTCTATATGCAGATGGTTTGTTGATTACAGACAATAACAAGATGGTTATCTCTAAGTTCAAGAGTGAGCTTATGAAAGAATTCAAGATGAACGACTTTAGTATCATGACATACTTCTTTGACATAAAGTTCCACAAGTACATAAAGGGTCTGCTTATGCACCAAAGGAGGTGTATGCCCTTGAGATATTGAAGAAATGTGATATGGAGCATTGTAATGCTGCCATTACACCTGCTGAACCAATGTTGCAACTGTTCAAATGAAGAGGAGAAGAACGTAGATCCAACTCAATATAGAATGTTGATTAGACCATTATGTTACTTGTGCAATACGCGACCATGTTTGGCGTTTAGTGTCGACATTACAAATAGATTAATAGAGAGATTAAAGGTGTCTCACTTAACAGCAGTCAAGAGAATCTTGAGATGTGTCAAATGATCTATTGACTATGAAATTCTTTTTTCCACATAAATACGGACAAAAATATAATTTACTTGCTTTTACCGATTTCGATTACAATTGAATACATCTCTAATTCTCTTTTCTTTTAGTAATAATTAGATTGTGTGGTCCAACAACATTGTATTATCTATATAAATTTTGGTAATTGAAAAGTTAATAATAATGTATTAATATTAAACTCTTGGAAGTAATATAGTAGTTGATAAAATAAGTGACATTTTCATAATCAACGTGTAAGAGTGGTACTAGCGTAGAAGAAAGAGTGATCAACTTAGGTACGACTCTTTCCATAGCATCAACGGTTGTGAACAAACTAACTGTACCCGTAGCCTATAGCTCTTTGGTTTAGTTACTATTTCGATATTCTTTTGTTTTGTGTTCTTCACTCCGAGCCTCACATTTCTTCAACACACAAATGTCAGCCACAACAACCCCTATCCCCGTCCGGTCCGATCGCGTCTCTTCCGGTTCACCTTTCTCCAGACCACCACCGGTTCATCGACTCGGAAAGCCGATCTTATCCAAACCGTGGCGCACCGCGCCGTTACAGAGAAGGTGGAGACACGCGTCAACGAGGAGCGTTGGACCGGTTCACGCAGGCTCGCGAGCTGATGACTCGGCGCCGTTCGAGATGTCTGTGGAGAACGCGCTTAAGCTGTTAGGTGTATCGGAAGGTGCTTCGTTTGATGATATACTGCGTGCTAAAAAGTCTATTGTTGCGTCCTGTAAAGATGACCAAGAAGCCATTTCACAGGTTGCACTTAACCTCAATTTCAATGCATCATTGTTAATTATTCATTTTATAAAATTGATTCTAGTTAAAGTGAGTTAAAAATAATGTGATTTATGTTTGGGTACATTCATTCATGCAAAATCGAGTTGAATAGAAAATTTTAGTATAATAATCACGTACTTAAGACTCAAAAACTACAAATCTTACCTTCAAGTAGAATCATTTATGAAGACAAAATCAATTATGCTTTTAGAATACCAACATGTCAAAATCAATTTTATACCACCAGAATCACTTTTGGCTCTCGCAAAAGTAGAACCGAGCATACACTTAATCTTTAAGTCCACGCAACCGGACTGAAATCCTATTCATGAGAAGAATAATTGGTCATTTGAAGACTTATGGATGTGTAAGTAAAACAGCTATTAGTGGTGGTAATAAAATTTAACGACATATTTGTTATCAAAAAATCAACTGATGCATGCTTGTGTCTTTTGCTTATTTCACCAAAGTCATTTACATACCTCTTACACTCTTGGTGTATGTTCGGATCAGCGTTTCAATTGCCATTACCACGTCCCAGTGTACTCTTTAACATGATTTCAAGAAGCTCAAAGTCTTAGCTTTTGTGTTAATGTGGTTTTTTTTTTTAATGTGATTTGGTTGAATTTGACTCAATACCAAACACATACTTAATACCTTCAAATTTTCAGTCTATAAGAGAAGTTATTAAGAAAGGTCATGTGATTAATCATTTGGGTAGAAACATAATTCTGGATAGAACAATATGGCGGAAGTTGATCCATGTAGTCGACTCTACTTAGTGGGATAAAGATTGATTGTTGTTGTTTAGTCAAGTGTTTTTAGTATTCTTCATATTAAGTCTGTTTGCTTATTGATGGAATTGGTGTGTTTTATTAGGTCGAGGCTGCATATGACATGTTACTTATGCAGAGCCTAACTCAGCGGCGAGCAGGAAAAGTAGTGAACAGCAGTGTTCGTTATGCTGATGTTAAGCGTGTTCAGTCTCAAGTTGTAGGATCAATGCCTCAATGGATGCAATCCACCATGAAGAAATCACCAGTTTCAATTGACTCGCCTTCCACCAGTGATTTTGGTTTACAAGCTGGAGTATATGGTGCACTGATGGGTTTAACCTATCTTAGCGGTTCTTCTATTCCCCCTGCAGGTTATGCCGGGGCCGATGTTCCAGGACTTATTTTGGCGGGTAGCTTTGGAGCTTCCCTGTACTTCATGACCAAAAAGAATGTTAAGTTAGGTAAGTAGCTTTCTCATGTGCATATTGATTTTGTGCGCATAATCTCATTTCTTCACAATTCATTGAAATTTTTGTTTCATGACCATATTCATATCAGTTCTTCTACATTTTTGCAGGGAAGGCTACTGTTATAACCATAGGAGGGCTCGTAGCTGGCGCCGTAGTAGGGTCGGTTGTAGAGAACTGGTTGCAGGTCGATATTGTCCCATTTCTGGGCATACACTCCCCTGCTGCTGTTGTTAGCGAAGTCATAATTTTATCCCAATTCTTGGTTTCTTTGTACCTAAGGTAGACCAAAAAACACGGCGATCTTTATATTAAAAATGTGAAATTTGTAATTATTCATTTGCATGATCATGTCAAAGGGTTTACAGGGAATGCTACTGTTATATAACCATATAGCTGACCCGTGTCAGCTGTACATAACCGGTTGCAGTAGAAATCGTCCCATTTTGGGCATTCGCTTCCCTGCTGCTCTTAGTGAAATCAAAGTTATGTTTCCCTTCTTGGTTTCTTTGGTTTCTCTGTACTTAAGATAGACAGGTAAACATGGCAATCTTGTATCAAAAGCTGAAACTTGTAATTTTTCATTTACATGCAGCATAGTCATACATCAAGCATTTTTAGAATGTATAATGATTGCATGTTGTACAAAACATTGAATGAAATGTAATTGTTTATCTAGCAAATTAGAAAGAAGCATGCAAATTATATTGTGAAGATGCATATTTTAAGTTCAGGGCAAAAATAAAAACTAAAATTTATATTAAATTTGAATCGTCTGATCTTGACCGGATGCATATGCCGAATGCGTAAATGCGAAAGATGTTTTGAGAGAGAATCCAATTTTTTATGATAGACCTAAAATATTTTAAGCCTGCTATATTTTGGTGTTTTGTCCTAAAGCTTCATGTGATTATGCATTTGTCTTTTCTTATTGATGGGTCATTAGCACTTGGATTATGTACTTGTACGTATCTGATGTAAAAAGTAAAGGCTGCTGCACCTTCAGCCTTTTCAGCATGCGACACAGTTTGTGTTTGGTTGAAAGTTTCCTTTTCTTTTGACAAAGGTTGAAAAGTATTTAAATCTAAAGAATCTCAAAAGAAGTTAATCACCATTTTCGGAAACTTGAAATCTATTAATTTAATAGTCTACTATCAAATTTACAAAATACTAACAATTTTGTGCATGTACTAAAATACTATCTGTTTATGCCCGTGATGGATAAAGTTTCTCATTTTCTAAAGTCTATGTTGGACTCTGATGTTTTTGGAATTATTATTTCAAATGTATCTTTAGTGTAGTTGTTTTTCTTTTCGGGCTTCAGTTCTGACCGTTTAAAAAAAAAACATAAATAGAGAAACTTAAAAATTGGGATGTTAAATTTTTAAAAGACTAAATAGGTTCATATTCTTTGATTTAAAAGACTGAGTTTTATTTTATTTTATTAAGTATAGATTATTATGTACATGAATAATTGTTTGTTGTTGGTAAATGAGGATTAAAGTTTAGGCAAATTCAACTATAGTATTATATATGGTTTGTAATCCTAAAATTCTAACAAGTAAGACAAATATTCGTCTTTTAGTTTATCTTTAATATTTATCTTTAATTTTTTATATTAATTGTTATTCTAACAATTGGTATTAAATGACGATTGTGCGAAATTCGAAGCAACACAAGATTCGACTAAGACGAGTAATTTTTGATTATGGTAAAGGAAGGTTAATGATATGTTGGCTCAATAAAGTTTACAAAAGATTTGCGTGAGACGAAATCAAACGACGTGGAGGATACCAATTTTGCATAGATGAAGGGGAAAGTTGCATGATTGATTCGCATGTGCATTTCAGACGAGGTGGTGTATCATATTTTGGATTTGACGATTCTGAGTGAAGTTTGAGACAAATTAAAGAGTCAGTTTATGTCAAATACATTTGTGAATAAATTGTTCACGAAGCAGCGACTATACAATCTAAAGATGTAGTCTGATTTGCAACATGTTAATATCTTCAACAACATAATCACTGATCTAGCGAGTCTAAGAGTGAATATTAATAACGAAGATAAGACAATTATCTTGTTTTACTCGTTACAAAATTTCTATGACCACTTGGCGAATACTCTTTGTTGTAACTGGCAAAAAATAACGAGTCACCACCATTATTTTTTGTCCTAACGACGGGTGAATAATGGAATAACCCTAAGTGTATAGAGATTCTAAGCATGTGTTTCGTTTGAGACGAATGGAAGGTGTTAGACACTCATCATCTACCTTGTCCTCAAGGATGTCCCAAATTTAGGTTTAAGGGTAAGATATGGCTTCAGAGATAATTTGTGAAAAGAGTTTTAATGTTTTAATTAGGGGAACTCGCCACCGTTTTTAAGTCGTATGTCTACATATTCTCTTACGAGGAATCAGAGTCTCAATTCATAGTTCAAAGTGTTTGGTTAGTTTTTTATGGACTGTTGAAATATTTTGAATTAATCCTTAAACCAAGTCTAAGTTGAAAATAGCGAAATCGTAGACGCAATTCACAGTTAATATAAAGTAGATTCACAATCATTTTTGAAAATATCTTGATTTTTATATGTTAGTAGAAAAATGTTAGTAATTGATTGATTAGCTGTTTTAGAATATGTTATGCAATATGTAAAAAAATAAATTTGAATGAGAAGAAGATTTAATGCAATTAAGAAATAAGGTTAGTGTTTTAAAAAATATTTAGTTAAAAAATAACTAATTTTCCTAATTATTAAAAATATATTAAGTATTTTTGATAAAATATCCAATAATTATTTATTAATATGCAAAATTATAATTTAATGCAAATTGCTAAAAATATGATATATATTAATTAAATGAAGAAAATAGAATAAGTTAATTAATGAAAATAGAATAAGTTAATTAATGAATTAAATTAATTAAGTAATTAATTAAAGGAGGGGTGTAAAAGTTAAATTTGGGATGTATTTTGTTATTAAAAAAAAACTAAAGTCATTTTTTAAATTTTTGTTAATGATAAAAGTTAATACTAAAGGATCTAAATTGATATAATCAAATAATCTACACTAATTTAACGGTTTTACTAAAAATAACTAAGTAAATAACTAAATAAATAACTAAACAAATCCTAATTTCTAAGCAATAATTTAATAAAATAACCATGTGAGACAATAATTCAATAATAGTAATAATTAGAGCAAACAAAAAAAGAGAAAAAAATAGTAAACGAAATATCTAGGGGCATCCTTCCTCACTAAGGATTTAACTTTCTAGTCTTTGTACTTTCCAACCATTATAAGACATGTGGCCAAATTAATTTGCACAATAAAATAAGAATTATAAAATAAACCAAAGAAAAAGAAATTGAAACCTGTAGTATATCAGGTCTCTCGATCTCTTCTTCTTCACTTCAAACAAAATCCTATTCTTATCTCTCATGGTGGTGGAAAACGGATCCGAATGGGATTCTGCTTAGAGTCATAGATGATGTAGTCCGACAGTGATTTCAACTATTGTGGATTGTGGAGGTTGTCGTTGGTTCGGAAGATTGAAGGCTAATAAGATTTGTTAATTAGTTGTTGGTCATTGTTTATTAAAGATAACAACAGTCAACATGATTTGTAAGAGAGGAATTGAAAACCTATTGATTTGCAAATGACTATTGATTTTCCAAATGGTTGCTGATGGAAAATTTTTAGATGTTCCCAAAAGAGTTGTATAGAAAGAATGTTGTGAGGAAGAGATAGAAAATTGTTGATGAAGAATATAAAGTGAAGAGAGCTCTATTTATAGGAAAACTTTAGGTCAAATAAAATATGAATCACCTATTTTTGGCAAGATTTTTACTGGTTAAGGTTAATTGAAACTTGGAGAATAAAATTATGAACCTAGACACTTTTGTGACTTTTTTCAATATTGTGATTAATTCATGACGGATGAAGATTTAATTATGACAAATTTTATTTATTTATTTAATTTAAACTATTAAGTTCATAAAATTAAAGATTTTAAAAAATAAATAAATTAAAATTAAAATTAAAATATTTATTTATAAAAGAAAATTCTAATTAAAAAAGAAAAAAAATTCTAACCCTTTCTCTTTTCTTTTCATGAATTAACTAATTAAAATAAATCTAAATCTAAATAAATGAATATTATCATATTAAATTAAAATTAGTTGTACTAAAAAATAAAAATAGTGTTAAAGTAATCCTAATAATAACGAGACAAAAAAATTAGTAACAATAATAATAAATTTTAAATATATTAATAATAAAACTAAAATAAAAATCTAATATTTTAAAAATTAAAATTAAAACCAAATTAAATATTGAAGATAGAAATAGAAATTAAATCAAAGATTAAAATCAAATATTGAAAATGAAAATAGAAATTAAATCAAAGATTAAAATCAAATATTGAAAATAAAAATAGAAACTAAATCAAAGATTAAAAAAATAAAACTTAAGATTGAAAATTAAAGATTAGTTTATCTTGACAATTTGACATAATCTAGATTCACATGCATGTATGATTGGTGGGGAAATAAATAATTATGGCACCAAATGATGAAAAGGCGGTAAAAGGAAACCATACCGCTAAGTTGGATAACCTTCACCCGGTTATTCAACCCAAAGGAGGTTGATCCCCAAACATCGTCCAAATAAGGATAATATATAAACTGAAAAGTTCATCGGTAATTAAAAGTATCAATTACTGCTTATTTGGTGCCTAAATAGAAAATTCTTGATTAATCTTGTGCATGTGATGATCATCACAATTCCCATTGCCTTAATGTGATTGTCCGAATGAAAAAGGAAGAAGATCAGAAAAAGACATAAGTACAAAACATAGTTAGAGAGGTATCTAAAAGGGAAGCTCATATTTAAAGTGTTTTTACAAAAAAATCTTTGCGTGATATGAATACCAGACGAACTGCCTCTTGACCAATGTGAACGAAAGTCTCGTGTATGATTACTGGTGTACTTTGCATTTCATGATCTCTTTTATTTATTGCTTGAGGTCAAGCAACATCTAAGTTTGGGGGAATTTGATAAATGGTTTTTACACATTTGTTTACTGTTAATTCTAGTGAATTATGTCATTATTTTTAAGTTCTTTATTCCCCTTTTCCATATTTATGCATTGGTCGTGTATCTTTAATGTTTTTAGGTCCAGGTAAGCATTCAAGAAGAATTAGAGCGAAAAACAGGAAAAATTGCAAGAACTCAGAAAAAATTTATGCATACTCTAGGAGGTCTGACACGGCCACATGTTTTAGCTGATACTGGCCGTGCCAGGCAAGCAACAATTGCAAAATATAAATCAGAGGTTTGCCACAGGCTCCCGTGGCAACTAATACTACCCGTGGCAGGATGCCTGAGACCAAAAACATAGATTTGAAATTACTGAAGGCTGCCACGGGTGCCAGTGGTGGCTGTCACGGCCCGTGGCAGCATGTGATGCCGATTTCCTGATTTTTTTTAAATATTTTATCCATGGGTTGAGCTATGGGAACATTTTGGGTATATTCCAACTGATCTGAGTGAATGTTTGCTATTTAGATGAATTTTGAAGAGGAATTAGGGGACTTTTTTTTTGCAAAGTGGAGGATTATACGATTCAAGATTAGAGAAGCCAAGGTTTTTGGAGGACGGAAGATTTTCATAAGCGGATACAATTGAAGATCAAAGTTCATCCTAATCCTTGTAATGTCTAAATTTTATCTTGTATTTTCTTTGAACATTATGAGTAGCTAAACCCCTTAATGCTAGGGGGTGTCCCTGATTTGCATTTGTAATGACTTTGATTTTATAATTGCAATAAAAATGTTTATTTTCATAATTGATTTAATCTCTAAATGTTTCTAGTGCCTTCTCTGTCGGACAAACAAGGTTTTGTTTATGATTAACAATTAGGATAAACTGCCACTGTTAATGGTTTTATGAGATTATGCTATAATATACATCACCTAGGACTAGGGATACCTTATAATAACCGAAGTATTCTTGATAATAAAAATGCTTAATTTGATCGATAAGTTTCTTTGGACTTAGGGCTTAGGATAAATGATTGAAGGTTGCCTCTCTAAGGACTTAGGAGTAAACACTCTTAAGAACAGGTAATTGATTATTAAAATAAGTTATTGCAATATTAATTCAGAGTTGTTACAAGGATAATTCACACACCTACCCTAGCATGTTACTCATATTTGTTAAAACCACTTAGTCAAATTTTCTTACTCCTTCACAATTATTACTATCTACTTGCAATTCAAACCAAAATGCTAGTTTCTGCTTAACTGAACCACTATTGAAACTCAATATTCACGCGCAGTCCTTAAGATCAACATTCGGGGAACCTTCCTCATTATTACTACAATAGGCAAAATATTACACTTGCTATTTTTCTGACCAGATGGCTATTTTATTTTCCCGTTACTATATATTGATGGTATGTTAATTGTTGTTAATCCTCTATATAATGTAAATGAAATGAAAATCATGTTACGAAAAAAGTTTGACATGAAAGACTTAGGTGTTGATAAGAAGATTCTCGGTATGGAAATTAATAGGAATACGAGTGATAAATTTTTTGCCTATCTAAGAAATACTATGTTGAAAAGGTGTTAGACAAGTCTGACATAAGTAATTCAAAGGTTGTGAGTACTCCATTATAAAAACACTTTAAGCTCTCATTGGATCAGTGTCTAAAGACATATACAGAAGTTGAGTATATACCAAAGGTCCCTTATGCTAGTGTTGTTGACCACTTAATGTATGTTATGGTCTGCACTAGTCCAGATTTGACACAAGTTAGAAGTCAAGTTTGTAAGCTTATGTGCAAACTTGAAAAAAAAAACACCATTTGGAGGAAATCATATGAATTTTCAAGTACTTAAAGGGTACTATGAGTTATGGTATCATGTTTAGTAGTGAACAAAATGATCTTTCAACTGTAGGATATGTTGATTATGACTATACTTGTGATATGATGATAGGATGTCTACAACAAGTTGTCGCATCGCGAAAATAATACACAGAGTCGCCACTGAAATTTATTCATTCCAAAGGAAAGGAAAAATATCGATAAAACTCCAAAAGGTGAAGAAAATGGTATCGCAACCAAATTCGGGTTCGGAAGTCCATTATGTAAGGGGAATGACAGAAGATATTAGCACTCCTCACATCCGTTGTACTCAATGGAATCCACTTTGTTTGTTTGTTCTAAGGGTGTTGTTATCTAAATGTTTACTTGTTATGACTGATTAATGGTATAATTAAGGGGAAAATTTTTTTAAGTAGTGAGCTCGCCAAGATTTAAGAATCATGTGCCTACGTATCTACATAGTGTAATAGAGAAATTAAAGCTCTGTAGTTTGGATTGAAAAATAGTATTTGTTGGTTGTTTTAATGGACGATGTTAACATTCACGTTCTAGCAATAATCATAGCTTGTATGCTCATACGTGAGACTTAAGCGTATGTTCGTACAAATGTAGAATGGAAATAACATATCCTTTTTGAAAATGTTTAAAGTGAAAAACCCTAAGGAAAAATGTCACATTTGATTGGTTGAAGGTTGGTTGTTAGGAGACGTATAACAAATGGTCCCTCAAAGCTGCGGGTATTTGAATATATGGGGAATCAGGAAGTAATACACCACCAACTCTTTTTTCATTATTTAACTACGAAAATTGTTTTTGATACGAATGCTACTAAAGATAATGAAATAGAGGTGAATACTTTGAACAACTTGGTAAGGCGTCCATATTCAAAGATATCCTATGGTGAGTAAAGGACTCTCACTCACCTTTCTCCATTTGCTTAAGACTCGTGATGTACAAAATATTTCGTATTTATAACATATTTTGGCATTTATTTAAGAAAAAAGTTTTTTGTTTTCATGTGCAAAAAGATAATGAAAATAATTTAAATGCAAAGATGTAAATGAGGGAATGTTATTTATTGTCATGCAAAGTTATGAGAAGACTTAAAATTAAGGTTTTGAATTGAGATTTTCTACTTATAGTGATCATGCTTTGATTTATGGTTTATAACCTAAAAATATACTAACTTTGTTTCAATTTAACCAAGAAAAGAAACTTAAATAAAATAATGCCTCAAGGGAGCATGGAATTATGGGTCAAAACTTATGGGATCTCCTAGCAAGAATTAATGATCATAATCAAGCTAAAAAACACCATAAGATCAAAACTATGGGATCTCCTCAACTCAATTGGGTTGATGGGCCTGAGGGCATATGAGAGGAGAAGGCCCAACAAAATTGGAAGGGGTCACGTGTCCCTCTTTCACTCTCAGTGTCTCCTCTTACTCCCTTAAATAAGGTCATCGGAGTGAGGCTGCCGGAAATCGCCTCCGGGGGCGCTCCTCCACCAAAACACAAACCAGCAACACTATTATCATCCTTTCTTCACTACGAATCTACCTCTACACCTCCTTTTTCCTGGTTTTAAACCTAACTCATCAATTATTCAGAATACCTCAAAAACCCTAAAACTACAAATTGCAATTAAATGATATATACGATCAATCAGAAGGAATATCCATAGGGGTTTTGCTCAGCGTACTTCAAACCTAATTGTGGTATCAAGAAGCAAGAAAAAATATGAAGTAGAAGGAGAGTTTCGAAGCACCTGCCTACGGGAAGTTGTTGAAAATTGAAGATGGAGACTTGGACAAGAAACCCAGAGATAACAGAGCTTCTAGGTAATTGATTATGATGCTTATCTTCTTCTTTCCCTCACTTGTTTGATTTTTCGAATTTTTTGGAATCTTGATAGAATTAGGACTGAACTGTTGTTGTGTTGATGATGATGCTGATGAATAGAGATTATAACAGATGGAACTTGTAACTTGAGAGATTGATGGATTGTATAGCTTGAGAGTAGGTCACAAATTCAAGATGGACGGAGGTTAAGCTCTTACTTTGTTAAAACTTCAAGGTGAAGCTTTGATGGAGGATGATGAAGAGAGAGCTTTGAGTGCGGTTCAGGAAAGGATTTTGACAGAGTTTTCTTAAGGAGTAGTTGCTTGTCAATGAAGGTAGAATGACGAGTTTATATAGAACCTCTCACCCAATTTGAGCCATAGGATTAAATGTTGGGGATTGAAGGGCTTAGATTCAGTTGCTTAAATGGTGGTAATAAAGTTAGTTGGGGTAGAAAAATGAGAGGGAAATGAGAGGGAGTTGAATTTGAAGTGTACTTGGAGGGAGGGGTTATTTGGTAATTGGACTATGCCACGTGGCAAAGGTTTTTAAATCAATTAGGGTACCAGCTGGAACTGGTAGGGTTAGTTAGAGTGTGTCTCAAAATTAGTTATGAAGGTTAGTTGTGAGGTTGCTTGGTCATTAGGTTAGTGGGTAATTGGAGGGAAAATGAACTTTGAAGGGTATTGTGGTAAATAGCCTCTGCCCACGTGGCAGAGGTAGTTACAAGTTGTTAGTTGACATCTGGAAATTGGTTATTGTAGTTAGTTTAGTGCTGAAGTGTTATGTTAGTGACTTGATAGTTAAGCAATTGTTACTTAAATGCTAAGCAATGTGATAGTGTATGTATGTAATGTGAATTAATGTGTATGGGTTCAGTTTTGAAATGAATGTGTGTGCATGGTATGTATGCAATATATGTTCTTGCTTAGACTGTTTGTGATGTGGGCATCATTTTAGGATTGTCATGTATTTGTAAGTGTGTAGCATGTTATTGTATGGTCATAATGAAAAGGCATGGTATGCATCTGTTATGGGTTTGTGCATATTGGTTTTTGTACTGATTTACAACTGGTCTTCTGCTTCCATCATCACTTTTACGGCTCATGAATATGCATACAATGCTCTGAACATGATGTACAATGATGTGGAGTGTGGATACATATGTGCAGGGCTGCTGTGAAGATTTATTGGTCTGATGCATAATGTAGCATGTCATGTTTTAGCAATGGGACTTTGGCATGTGTATGCCGCTATGATTTTGTGAGTTGTGTACATGTTGGCATGGTGAGAAATTCCCAATTTTGTGGCTGTCTGTTTTTTATGTTGGGATAAGTTTGTGGCCTTATGTATGTTTCATGATGCTCTAGTGCAAGTTGTAGTAGGCTGCAATATGCAGGTGTATATGATGTTGGTATGTAAGTAAATGTGATGGTGGTGATCTGTTTGTATGTATGTAGAATGAACATAGGTATGCTGGTACTGATGTTTATGGGTCTGTTATGTGCAGGGATGTTGTAGGTTTTCATGGACATGGCTTAGCTGCAACATGTTGACACAACACATAGGCACATGGTACATGAAGGTGCGCACATGATAATTTTGGCAGTATGGAATCAAGGCTAGATGATAGCAAGTTGGAAGTTGAAGAATAGGTCAAGAGTAGCATTAGGGTTAGTGTAAGGACTTTGGTCAACTGTTTGACCAAAAAGTCAACAATTAATCAAAAGTCAACTGTGGTCAAATATGGATTTTTAAGTAGTTTTCAATGATGTAATGTACTCCCTCCGTCTCATAATAAGTGTCTCATTTGAACTTTACACGATTCTTAAGAAAAAGATTAGATGTGTTGATTTTAATGATAAAATTAATATCATTTACTAAAACATTCTTATTTATTATAGTTAGTAGAGTAGTTGAAAAGCGTGAAAGCTAATAAATAGGGGTATAGTAGTAGAAAAAAATAATAAATGTTGTATTGATGTTCTAAAGAGACATTTATTTTGAGACATAGAAAAAGTGCAAATGAGACACCTATTATGAGACGTATGGAGTATTTGTAAATGGATTCTTGGCATTTGGTAATGTAATTGACATTGAATAATGTGATTTGACCTTCTTTCTTGAATGTTGACTTTTGTTGACTTTCCATATAAGTTCCCCTTCAAATAATCAATTCAAACTTGAATGAATAATCCATCTTTGTAATCTTGCATCTTAAATGAATGAGAATGAATGAAAAATGATAACCAAAGAAAATGATCCAAATTGACTTTAGTGAAAAACTCAACCTTTCATGGTTGACTTTGACCCAAAGTCAAAGTTTTTATAAATGGCTTCCAAATGCCTTCTTCACAATCATACGCATCCATAATCAAGTTCTTCTTAAAGATCGAAGTCTTGGGTCAAAAGTCAACAATATGGTGGACTTTGACCAAAAATGTCAACCATGTACCAATGTCTTATTTTCCAAGCAAACACCACAAATCCTTGCATTGGAGGCATGATACCATTACCACATATTGTACAATAAAAGATCAATTACCACCAAAGTCTAATTGCCTGATAAAATCCTAGTCTTGAGCCACACATATGAGATTCAACGCTTGTAGACCTTTTTGAACCAATGTATGCAAATGGATGAATGTATGCAGATAAATGAATCCTAAAAATGATTGTTTGGAATATGAGAATGCAGATGAGTTTTAGTAACATGAGTCAGATGAAATAGCAAGAGGGGTGGGGCAAATTTAGGATATGACACAAGTTATATCTTTACTTTAGCAGAAAGACCTATTTGTTGGAGATTATCGGTTTAATCCATATTGGTCATGTCGACAAGTGAAGTAGAGCACATGACGGTGGATGAAGCTAGCAAAGAAGCCTTATGGCTTACAAAATTTGTGAGAGAATTAGGTGTTCAGCGAGGTGGGTTTTGGTTTCACTGTGATAGTGAGAGTGTCATTTATTTGGCAAACAACTAGGTGTATCATGCCAAGATCATACATATTGGGGTAAGGTTTCACAAGATCAGGGAGTTACTTGCATCTTGACAAATATTATTTAAAAAAATTTCACACTTCAAAGAATGCAGTTGATACGTTGATCTAGTCGGTCACCAGTGATAAGTTCAGACATAGTTTGGATTTATTACATGTTTTTCAGTGTTAAGCAGGAGGTGTATGCCATGATGAGTTGTCATGCAAAAAGTCTTCATATTGATTTGATATTCGCCAAAGTGAAAATTGTTGAATATGATTCATATTGTGGAGATTATTATGGGTATTATTGAATATAGCTCATATTGAAGAGATTAATACGGGTAGATATAATTGTTGTGGATAAATAAAGATTATGGTTTAAGTAAATTGAACCCTATTATATATATATATATATATATATATATATATATATATATATATATATATATATATATATATATATATATATATATATATATATATATGCAAAATACCCTTTTTAGTCCCTTAACTTTATCTTTAGGTCCATTCTGGCCCCTTATCTCTAAAAAGTTCCAAAGTGGTCATTTAATTGTTCAAAAAGGACCACAGTAGTCCTTTCCGTCCAAAAGGCACAAACAAACGTTTGTTTTGTATGTGTGGCAGTTGATGTGGAATCCTATTTTCATCTTCTTCGTTCTCCTCTTGCAGGCTGCGTTGCATTTTCATCTTCTTTGTTCATCTTCTTAGCCCATTTCTTTCTCTTATACCCCATACTCCCTCAAATTCTAGGGTTCAACAAATTTCTTCCCCTTCTGATTCGGTAATTGCTTAAGGAAAATGAAGCAATCTTCGTACGATTCGAAGGGCTGTGGAGATGTTAATTTGCGATGGAAACTCATATGTGGCTTTGGAGGCACGACTGTTCTTTGAAGGGCTTCAACTCACACGAATTTTGGGAAGCAATTCTGAGACTGTCGTCATTATAAGGTAAGAAAGAAATTAAATGGCTTATTCATATTATTTTTTCTGATCTATCCAAATTTGGACTAACACAGGGTTCATCTGAAATTGGATGTGGATGCTTTCAATGGTTCTATGATGATGTTGTGGATGAGAAAGAGCAGTTTATAAAGAAGCAAAATAGTAGGTTGGAGAAGCTTAAAAATGACCTTGATGCAGCAAAAATGGAGATACTGTCTTTAAAGGAACAAAAGGATGGACTGAAACAAAAGATAAGGGGGCTACAAATTGAAATGAATAAAATGATGAATTCTGGAAAAAAATGGAAAAAAATGTTTTGTATGTTGTTAATTTTTGTCATTTGAGTGATGTTGTAAATTACAGTATCGTTTGTAATATCATTTGAAAAGAAGAAGATGTTGTTAATTGATGAAGTTGTATGTTCTATTTGTAGCATGTTGTTATGAATTTTGGAACTGGTGTAAATTCCAGTATGCAACTGTATGAAACTAGTGTAAATTCCAGTATGAAACTGGTTTAATTTTGGAACTGTATTTTTGATGAATTTTGTAAAGAATACATAATTTTGAATGAAGTCAACAACAATACATAAGGTGGAGGATACCACTAATATTCATAAATTTCATGTTTAAAAAACCTGATATTACAGGTCCAAAAACACTACTATTACAGATCCAAAAATCATACTTTACATGTCCAAGAAATCTGACATCACAGGTCCAAAACAGCAGTAGACACTACAAGTCCAAAATAGCTTAACTAAAGTTAACATAAATTAATAGAACCATTACATAAAAGACATTAATCTAAGGTTTTCATTTTGTTGCAGCTCTCTTAATAGGTGTCGTCCTTCTTGTTGTTGGACCTACAACATTTTTAGATGCATTCAACCTAATTGTTGGACCTACAATAGTTTTAGATGCATTCAACCTAGTTGTTGGACCAGATGGGAAAAAAGGTGCATTTGACCTTCTAACTTGCAACTTTTTGGATTTGGGACTCACTTTCTTGGATGATTGAGAAGCAGGTGGCTGGGATGCGTGAGCTGGCTAGGATGCTTGAGCTGGATGGGATGCTTGAGCTTGCTGGGATGCTTGAGTTTGCTGAGATACTTGAGCTGGCTGAGATGCTTGAGTTGGCTCTGGCTGAGATGCTTGAGTTGGCTGAGATGCTTGAGTTGGCTGGGATGCTTGTGCTGGCTGAGATGCTCGTGCTGGTTGAGATGCTTGACTTGTAGATGGTACCTTGCAAGTTAGCTTGTTGTGTCATGCTTTCTTACACCTGCTACACTTTATAATGAATCATGTCCTTCTCATCTTTTTATCAGAACCATTTATCTCAACTTGCTCTAAATTCCTCCTTTTTTTGACCTGCCAGACATTTTCCTAAATTTGGGGGGGCAGAATATCAGGATACTTTGTTCTCATCCACAGGTTTGAGCCATTAACATGATATATTACAGGTTTGTAGACTTGCATATATCTTTCTTTCCTATAGTAATCAGGAATGTAGTCATCAATCTTGTGGTTCCTACTTTTGATTGCTGCAAGTGAATGAACATAAGGCAATCCTGTTAGCTCCCATCTTCTGCATGAACAGTACTTTTCCTTCAGGTTGAATGTGAATTTTTCAGCTGAGTTTTCCAGATGCCTCACTTCAAATATATGCTCATCAGACATTCTAACATTTAAATATACATTCCAAATATAAATACACTTCAAATATATACACTTTAAATAAATTTGTTTAAAGCAATTTACCTGATAAGCCACATGTTTGTGTATGAACTTGTTTTTTCAACCTTCTTCATAATGTTAGGCAACACTTCAACATCTGCCAATTTCTCAAACTTCATCCTGTTTGTAGCCCATCTTTCCATGATGTATATCATAATTTCTTCCACCATGGTTATCAAAGGCTTGGCCCTAGACTCAAGGATGACACTGCTAAATGTTTATGACATATTATTGAGAACAATATCACACTTGTTATCAGTCTTGAAGTATGACCTGTTCCAAAACCTTGGAGGGGTGCTAATCATGTGTTTGTATGCTTCTCCATTGAACTCTTTCATTACATTCATCTCTCTTTCCCAAGCTTGGTAGTAAGTTGACTTGGCAACTTTACTTTAGTCCTTATGGCCTTGGTTTTTTTTACCCCCACATTCCACTTCTTCTGTACCTTCTCCTTAATGTCCTTAATTTTCATTCTAGGGTTGGTTTTAAATGAATTCTGCAACCTCTTGCTCAACCATTTGGTCTTCATTAACTTCACATTATATTCTCTACTGCAACTATGACTGTCTACTACCTTTCTTAGTTGCCAAGAATCCTCATTAGACAATTTAGCACAATAGGATTCCCATTCACATCTCCTTACACCTAACCCTAATCCCGGTCTTGTCATTTTTAATGAACTTTAAATTTCTTCCAGATTGGATTGCGTAAGAGGTAATGGCTTCCTAGAAAGTTTCTGCTGTACTAAAGTAGGTTCCCACTTCCCATTTGTAATTACCCATATCCTTTTGAAGCTTGAAAACTGGATACTTCTTTCTCCTAACTCTACTGCTATCATCACTATCACAGTCACTTCCTAGATCATCACTTTCATTATCACTTTCGTTGCTATCTTCTTTGTTTGCTTCACACTTTTCTTTACCTTTTTTGCTTTCCATGTGTTCATAGTTAATTAGGTTATCCTCCTCCTCTTTCAAATCAGTGTCATACTCAGAGCCATCATCAAATACTACCTTTGTTGCACTATCATAATTGAAGGTGCTATCATCAGAACTATCATCATCATCAGTCAGTCTAACAACATCATCAACCTCACCAGCCCTATGTCCAATATCATCACTTTCAACCTCATCAACCACATCAACCATTGGCACATTATCATCAGTTCCTACTGCATGAACACCATCTTCCCTAATATCATCTTCCCCAACACCATCCATGCTAACATCACATACTCTAACACCATCTTCCCTTACATCAGTTTCATTCAACATCTCTTCAAGCGCAACTACTGTCTCATCAACTATCACATTAAGGGGTACCTTATCTAACACAACTTCAGTCTCATCAGCATAATCAGGCTTTGACAATGTGTGTTGAATAAAGACTTTAACACTAAGATGAACCTTATATAGATCAGCAATCTCTAATGCCCCCTTGTCATCAACCAACATATTTATCTCAATAGTAGGATCCCTGTATATATTCTCTACATCTGCATAACCTAGCTCTTTAATAGCACCTATCAATTCAAACTAGCTCCACTTATCAACATCTACTCTCAAATCAGCAATCTTAGCTCCTTCGTAAACACTCATGTCCTCAGTAACAAATTGGCCACTATGGTGTATTGTAATGTTGAGATATTCATCCATTTCAGACTAGGTCCTAAATGATCAGGAAGATATTTGATTTCAGAAACATTGATTTCAAAAAACCCTAACTACGAAAATCATAGTTTTGCAGAAACTTACCTACGATGAGCAGTGTTGTGGTCGATTTCACATTCGCTCCGCTTCGATTGTAATGTTGTGGTCGGATTGTGCTTTCGCTTCGCTCGCAGCTTGTTCGCATATTGGAGCTACCAACAATGGTTGCCCAAGGATTACCTTCTAAGTGTTGGAGATGTAATCTAATCCTTTAACATATGCAATGCTATAACCATTTTAAAAAAAGAAAAACTTTAATCCACCTGGAGGAAAATGTATACACATGCAATGCCACATATATGTCACATAAGCTCTACAATTGATTTTGACTAACGGTCCAGACAGAAAGGATAAACGTGATCCTTTTTGAACAATTAAAATACCACTTTAAAACTTTTTAGAGATAAGGGACCAGAATGGACCCAGAGCTAAAGTTAAGGGAATATATATATATATATATATATATATATATATATATATATATATATATATATATATATATATATATATATATATATATATATATATATATATATATATATATATATATATTTTATAACACTAGAATCTTAATGAATAAGACAAAAATAAGAACTATAACTGCTTAAAAGTCACAGAAGTAGACATTATTGACTGATATACTGACTGATGTTTTAACAATTTCCTACACTAATTAAAACAAAAAGACCAATATACAAATAATAAAAATGGTAACTACAAGTAACTCAAAAGTCAAATTGTGTTAAGATAAATGTGTTTTAGGCAGGCCAAAAGTCTAATAAGAGAAAGTCCCCCTCTGATCCATAGTATCTCAATCAACTCTCATATAAGAAATTTAGCCCGAAGAAAAATGTGTGATTCAAATTCATTTTAACTCTAGTCACTTCTCATATTTTCTCACCCTTGATCCAATGTACCAAGGGTGAATGAATAAAAAACTTTGCATCTTTGATCACCAAAGAAACTTGAAACCACCTCTTTAGAGTATCCAAACTCATATCTAAGGAAAGAATAAACATATCTAAATTATCAAAATATTAAAAGAAACAACAACTAAGTGGACATTCTTAACAATACAACAATGGCAACACTAATAGTGCAAAATACATTAAAAATTGATGTCTGCACTTGATCAACTAAACAAAAACCTTAAAAATCGACGTCTCAGCGAGCTGCTTCGACATAAACACCAAACATAATAACAACATAATTACATAAACCACCCCCTATTGAACAAATTTCACACTAACTAATACTAGTACAATTGATTCTATTGTCCATTTTGGTTGCTGCAGTTTTCCACATTGCAACCACCTTCTAAATACGAAACATTCTCACCTTTCTCACTATTTTCACTAAAGGCCACAAGATCATTGTACATTTTCTGTGATGCTTTAGAGAATTCTGTCAAAGATTCTAGAACTCGAGAAAATCCAAATTGCATTCCATTCAATGTCATCCTCTGAGTTTCTTGCATGCAACTGTAATGCTTCTCTTTCTCTACCTCTAGTTTTCTACTTAGTGTCTCCAAGTAATCACTTTTCTCTATCATGCATTCGTCTTCACAAACCGTTTCCTCTTCTGATCTATGTTCTGTTACTTGTAACTCAAGCATCTTAGTCTTCAGTTTATACGATCCTAAATATCTTTGATCTAAATTTTTTGTTAAGCTATCTACTTTCCTCTTCTGTTGTTGCTCTTTACATTGTTGAATCCCAAGCGCTTTCACATCTTTCACAACGCTTTTCAACGCAAGTACTACCGTCTTATCAGGTAATTTTCGCAAGGAATTTAACCACTCGTTGCATATCACGAGTAATGGCGGCCCGTTGACTTGAAATGGCATTGGCATGGAAACGTTTCTGCTTCTCGAGCAAAATTCAACTTCGGGAACGATGAACTTACTTAACCATCCATGCAGTGCTTCTACGTATGCTTTCTGAGCTGCGGTGTACTCTCTAAAACTCACGCGCCAATGATGAAGCTCGGCTTCGAGCTGGAGAGTTGCCAATCCGCGAGATTGGTTGCAAAATTTACCATTCGCAGGACATGTGAAGTACTTGACTTCAGAAAGAATCTTCTTCTGTGTTTCATGGGACTCCAACATGATTTTCCACGATTGTGTCAGGCTGCATTTGGAAAAATGAAAAATTACAAATCGACGAAACTAGCTATTTAGTATGTTTAATTTCTTGTGCTATACTATCTCACCCTTTCAGTAGTTCAACAACTTGAGGCTGTAATTCTTCATCTCTCATTTTCTGAATTCTCTTTGAGATTGACTCTGCACGTCGAATTGCAACCATGATTCCAGCATATAGATCTTTCAGATCATATCTAGTCTTGTCCATGCTTAATTCATCATCTCCTCTAACATTCTTATTTCTTAATTGCGCACATTTCTTCTCATAATTTTTCCGCGTGCTATCTCCAGCCTAATGCAAGGAATTTATTACATGTTAGCAGGATGCATCAACTGAGAAAAAAAGGAAAGAAAATGCTCAAAAATTCTCGAGTGGAAATAACCTATTTGTTTTCATCCGTTCCAGAGAATACGCGCATGCGCTCGAGCAGTTTCATCATAAAATAGAAAATATGGATTCAAACAAAAGGAATGATTAAATTAACCTTACCTTAACCTCTTCAAACAGTTTCTTTTCCCATGCATATAACCTTCCTAAGGTTAACAAATGACTTCCTGAATCCATTCCTCCATAATCATCGAATAGATCATTCTTATATTCCACCCAATTTGAAGAATCTTTCATATTCTGAACCACCAAACTCTTGCATGATGATTGCCTAGAAGACATGGACTTCCAAGTTATCGCATTAATGAGTTTCGTCGAACTTTCTGCATTGATATCGAGTGGTTCAAACTCTCAAAAACATATACATATAAAATACATCACATCACAATATGAGACATTCAGAGTATCAATTTCGATATGTTTGTCTATTCTAGTGCATGGTCATATAATCAGCATCGTTTTTCAGAATGTGCAAGATGAACTACAACACAAAATCTCAAATTTTTTTTAAAAAAATTGTGGATACATAGGGTCTTATAATAGATCTACCATGGTTAAACCGTGAATAAATAAGGCCCCTTTTTGTTCCGTGATGGTTGAACCATAGCTAATCAACTCACGGCCTCCAAAAACTTAACACGGCCATGCATATAATACATTTAATAGATTAAACTCATTTGTATGGTTTAGATGAGTGAACTAATTCAAGAAACTCAACAATAATCGAGGCATTGTATTTCAGAACAATCTCATAAAGTTTTTGAGATTGATATATAGACATCAAAGATAGGACTCACCTTTGATTTCCTCCAAACTAGAATGAAGGGGAATCCTATTAGCCTCAAGCATCTTTGTCACACTCTTACCAGACTCATAAGCCCTAATGAAATAATCCTCAATATCTTTCAAAGCTTCAAGCAACTCTCTCCCTTCAGCAGGTGTATCAAGAACTGCAAGCCCCTTTTGTTCCCCAACATTTTCACTAGCCACATTCACAGTTTTCATCGTTTCATCGCCACTCATAACTTTCCCTCCACCTTCATTACTCTTCTCCTCAACACTCACCACCACCTTATGCTCAATCTCTTCTTCCCTTTCCACTTCTTCCTCTAACTCCGGAATCCCTTCCTCTTCCCTCACCGCTCTCAAATCATCGTCAGAGTTCCGATGATAGCCATTCATAACCTCTGGCCTCATACTATCAAAAGGGTAAAAGAAATCCCAACCAAAATCTCTATGTGGTGATGGCATTGAAGGTGGCACAGGCATATTCATATGCATATTCATATTCATAGGCATTTGCATGTAGTAATACTCACATGGTTGTTCATTTACCTCTTCTCTACCACCTTCTCCTTCTTCTCCCCCCTCTCCCTCTTCATCAGAAGACTCTGAGGAACAACTTGAAGCAATGCATGAGTTACAAGCAATGGATTCATGCTTGGTTTCTGAAGGTGTTTGCTGAAGGAACATAGGGTTATTTATGACATTTTCACTTGATGAATGAGCATGATGAGAATGAGAATGAGAATGAGAGGGAGAAGGGTCAAAACCGTCCTTAGGAGGGAAAGTTATGAGAAAAGGTGAAGAAGGTGAAGAATGTCTTGCAACAAAAAGCTTAATACCTGCAGCTACTGCATTCAAAGAGTGAAAATACTTACAATGAGCCTCAGCAAGTGCATATCTTCTCTCTACAGCTAACTTCAGCTGACGTTTTCTCTCTCTACATATAGCTACAACTTCTTCTTCTTCCTCTAGCTTTGAAGCAACACAACCCATCTCTCTCAACCACACAACCCTTTTGGCTTTTAGTACAAAAAGTTGGAACTTTCAAGTTAAAAATTCAAAAGGGTTTATAAAAAAACAAGCTTTAACATGAACAAGAAAAATGTTTTTTTTCTACCAAGATTGAGCTAAAACCAGACAGAAATTAAGGAACTTTTACAGAAAAACAGCAGCAAACAAACAAGTAGTAGTAACAAACAAGAAAAGGACACGGTGGTTAGTACTAAAAATAAATGAAGGATTAATAATAAATGCTGTAATTAGTTGTGGTTTAATGAAAATATATTAGTAATACTTAAACATTGTAGCATTAGGATTAGAAGAAAATGTGGTAGTAAAAATGAAATGAAATGGCATAACTAGAGGATGATTTGCAGACAAGGGAGAGAGAAGAAGCAGGTGAGTAAAGAATGTTGGGGCTCGAGAAAGAGAGAGAGAGAGAGTACTGCCATGGTGATGCATTTCTTGTTAAAAGCACTGTTTAGAGTTTGGAGTGATAAAAAATTCAAAATAAGATTATATTATTACTATGAAAAGGAAATTGATAACTTGCGCTATAAAGTTACAAAATTGCAAGAAATGGTACATAATCGTCTCTAACGAATTATAAATAAATTTAATTTTTTAATA